GCTGTGGCTTTTTGACGATGTTGGAAAAGGCTGATAGTGACAACGAGTCCTCGCCGTCGCCGGCGTCACCAACTACAACGCCAGCCGCACCTGCTGGACGAGCAAGCAGCCCCGTTCTGGCTCGGCGGTCGATGCCCTTGAGCGACGTGCTGCGGCGAGTCAAGAGGGCCCGAGAAAGTAGTGCAGGCGGCGCCGCAACTACATTTCTGCAGCGGCGGGGGGGGGGCAGCAGCAGCAGCACCAGCAGCGGCTCGACCACCAGCGAACACAACTACTATGACACAAGCCTCGACTGCGGCAGATTTTGACGGGGGTGCCAGGTTGGGCAGGCATTGACTGGGGCAGGCAAGCGAAAACGAGGAACAAGTGTCATGGCCATATCACAAATCGAGAAGTTTTGGGGGTCCAGCATGACAAGTTCGTTTCTGTATTGTAGTGCACGCGGACGATGAAGCTGGCTTCACCATTGAACTCGATCCTCCTGCTGGCGTGTTTTACGATGGACGTTACGCGACCTACGCAAGTCGCGTTTGTAACTTTTTTTAAAGAACGCAAGCCGTAGCCGGTTTGCTCTTTCTGATGCCACGTAGAGTTTCGTCGCGAAGCACCGTTGTCAAGCATTCTGAAGATGCGCCTCTTTTTTTGTTCAGCGAAATAATTATACACTTCTGCGAATAGAAAGACAAAGAAAAAGCCCTGGCTTCTTCTCCTGTGGAAAATAAAGCTCAAGACTCCCACGACGGTTGCTCGCCGTGATAATCACAAATTTTTGTACAACTCGACGTTGGTTGCGCGATCTACTTCTACTCTTTATGTGCGAACTCCTGGAAGAACCGCTATTGAGTGGTTATGAGTTATCGAGCTCCCGCCGTGGGCCTTGGCCTTCTTCGCATCAAGGCGTTGTGTTCCGTAAGAATGAAAAAGGTCTGCTGTTCTTTCATCTCAAGAAATTCTCAGATAATGCTACTGTTGAAGCTGTTACAAGAAAACTTTCACGATTTGGTTTTGTCCTCCATCTGTTGCCCTACATTTATATGCATCACAAATTTTTCGATTTTGTCGATTCCGACCCGGGCACATCCATACTGACGACATTTCGATTGCATGACGCTTCGATGGATGACGACATTTCGATCTTCTAGTTTCATTTATACACAGTGATACATACTTCTTGCCACCTGCGAACTTTATTCGGTCAACCTCAACAATACCGGTTCTGTAACTACATGGATCGATGAAGAATCGAATTTTGCAGTTTTGCCCTGCCGCAGCATTTCGGTTATTTCAAAGGCGTTCTCGTGTGGACCTACAGGGAAAATCGGTCGCGCGTATGGTGCAAAATTTTCTGTATGCGGTATTTTTAACTTCGGTGTTGGTACTACCTTGTCCAAGGTTGAGGCTGGCTATTTTTCACCCCGTCGGTCCTCGTGCAACGAGGTCACGTTTTTGCAATAGCATGTCGGTTATCAACTGCAAAAATGTCTGGGTATGTCGGTAATCAAATGCTAAAATAAAGTATTGATAAAACCATTTGTCATGGTAAGTTTTTTTTTTTCGGACCCCATTCCATTGTCATATGTTGATATTCCCAGTTGAGGAGGATTTGTATTTGTTTTCCCGAATAAATCCCACCCGTACAACCCGACGTGATCGTTCTTTTTCGCTCAAGTGTGGTATTTCGATTCCATCTACCCGAAATAAAGCAAACCGATCCAATAGAAGGAATTTCTTTCTGTTATCGATTGCAAATATGTCTGGGGCTGGAAATTTGTGTTGTTGAAGCTTTCGCGAGTCTGGGTCCGTCTGGAAATTTGTGTTGTCAGAGTTCTTGTAGACACTTCCTACATAATTGTCATGACATCAGAACTTTTGCGAAATTCGCAAAGAAGGCACTTACTGCAGATTCAGGCGTAATAAAATGCACGACAAAGAAGGGCGACAAGGTGCTCTTGCTCAACCTCAATCGCATTCATGCATTACAGATCTTGTTGCCCTTCCAATAGTTCGCATGACAAATAACCCAGCCCCAGACTACATATTTGCCAACATGCATACCCGGTTGCTTTCCTGAACTTCACTGTCGTGGTACTTACTTCGATTCCATCTATCCGAAGAATCTAAACCGATCCAATAGGAATTTCTACCTGTGGAGATGGTCGGCTTGTAACTGTTGGTGTTGTAACTGTAAATAAAAGTTAAATTTTACGTGCGGGCTACTTCGAAGAAGAGACAGAAGACCCCCTAGTGCCTATTTCAATTTCTTCTTTTCTGCATCAAAAACCTCCCAAGGCCATCGCTCATCTTTCTTGCTTGTTCCGAAGCAAACCTACAGAAGTTTTTGTTGTGAACAAGAATATTAACCGAGTTTATAATTTTTAAGTACTTATAGTAGATTACGCATCCTTCCACGAAACGACCCCTGTGAGGACAGCTACATTTTTCCAATGGATACGTCTCGTCGTGGATTGCCCTGTTGGGCGATTGCCGTGCTGGTCGCGGTAGGGGGAGCTGTCCAAAGCGAGGGAGTGACATGGCGGAGGAGCTGCGGAGAGACGAGGGAGGAACTGCGTCCGCAGGAGCGGGAGGAACTGCGTCCGCAGGTATCCTGTGCAAAAGTACTATCCGATACTCGTAGAAATGCATTACAAATTTCCTCAGCGTGAGAAATGAAATTTGTAATGCCGATTCACCTTAAGGAAAAGCAAAAGATGTGCAATGCATGATTACAATACGAGTACGATGCTTTTGCATTGCATAGCAGGGGGGATGGACCGATGTCGACGACGTCTTCCGCTGCAGTGCGGAGTATGAAATGCAGAAATGTCTCCGTCTGGAAGATTGCTAGGCTTGTGATGCACGTTCTGCATGAGCCATGATCGATCTGTGATGCATGCCCTAGCATCACAGATTAGATTTTTTGAGAGCATCTTGATGCGCCAGCCTATTCCGCATGACACATGCACTCTCCGCGTAGCAAAATTCACACTCCCTTTGCTGCCCATGCAGTACTACAGATTTCGTTGGAAAAATCCAAATGCAGCGTCACAAGTTGCATTCCCATTCTCCCAGACCCAGATATATTTGCAGTCGATACGCAGGACTACGAAGCGATGGCGCAAACCTGGGTTCCAGGCCTCCAGGCAGAACCTGCTGCTGGCTCAAGAACAGTTGGAGGCCTGTTGTCTACTTCCGCGAATTATATTGATAGAGCGGTGCGTCCGGTGCACATTTTCTTCGAAACGTTTGGAAAAACCACCCTGACAGGCGCATATAACTTGATGAAGCAGCTGGCAAAAACGCCGCACGTTAAAGTCACCTTTGTTGGCCCGGTGGGAAAGTTGATACAGAAAAAGGATCCGGCGACCGGCGAGCGGGTGATTGTGTATGCGGATCAGCTGCTACCTGTATTAAATGTAAATATCGATCTGGGTCTAGAAGAATGCCAGGTTTGTCATGCATATTTTGCATATACCCGTGATGCCTGCAATGCAGGACCTAGCATCACAGATTCTTAAAGGGCCTTCTTATGCGTGGTCCGCATGAGAAATGCCCACTCCGCGTAGCACAAACTGAACTACTCTTGCTGGTCATGCAATACAGATGTTTTTCGCTTCCGAAGACAGCATCACAAGCTGCAACCTTCCAGACATCCAGGGATTTTTGCATTTGATAACCCGCGGCGAGCAACGACGTGAAAGGAGATCTATCCTGAGTAAAAACGTACCCGCACCAGAGTTGTAAGGCAGATTTGCAAAGACAGGAAGTCTTGTAATGCGCATCCCCATGAGAGCCATTTCCAATCGTGTCTTGGAATTTGTGATGCTGTGAACAGGATGAGCAGATGAATCTGTGATGCGGCTGCACTTGCTAACCTGCACTACACTGCATAGTGCAACTTGTCACGCGTGACTCACAAAACTCCTAGGCTTGTGTTGCAAAATCCTCATCCTGACTCTGGTGTGGGTACGCTTTTACTCAGGATAAGATCTTCCAGATCCCGCCCTTGAGGGAGACAAGACCTATATGAATTGTGAAAGTGTCTGGGTCTGCAAACTTGTGAATGTGATGCTAAAATGTGCAACCAAGATGAAAACAGTTCCGAATGGAATGTAGCATGACAACTTTCCAGCACGCTTTCTCATAGGCAATCCGCATGAGAGACTCACTGCGTGTTTGCAGGTACAAAAGAGGCTGCGCCTCTTGGTGGTTGTGCAATACAGATTTCCTAGGTATAATGAAAAGCTAGCACTACAAGTTCCAACCTTTCAGACCCAGACATATTTTTTGCAATCGATAACCTATCTTGCGAAACAACTGAGAAAGTACGATCGGCTGCAGCACAACGGGACGGTCTGGACGGAGAGGAAGTCGGAGAATGTTACTGTTCTTTGGGACTTTGCTGTCTCCGAAAGCGAGATGAAGAGCCTCGGCGCGGCCGGAGTGGAGTTCGTGCCCTGCCGCCCCCGAAGATACTTTTGGAGTGTGAAAAGCAACACCGCGGTGCGACAGATGTTGCCGCGTTTGTTTTTGACGGACGGGGGGGAAAATCCGGAGGGCTCTACTTGGGTTATCAAATGCAAATATGTCTGGGTCTGGAAGATTGCCAGGTTTGTCATGCATATGTTACATGACCCATGACGATGAAGATGATGCTTCTAATGCATGACCTAGCATCGCAGATTTTCATTTTTAGAGGGCTTCCTGATGCTTATTCCGCGCAAACTGGACCCCTCTTGTTGGTCATGTAATGCAGATTTTTTTAGAATGCAGCAACAGCATCACAAGTTCCAACCGGCCTCCAGACCCAGACACTTTTGCATTTGATATCAGTTTTCCGCGAACAAGACAACCGAGACTGGCCGCGCCAGTTTTATGCATTGCAAACATGTCTGGGTCTGGAAGATGTCATGCTGCTTCTGCATGACACAGAAGGTCTGGCATGGAAGCCCTAGCATCACAGATCTCGAGAAGGTTTTGCAATCCGCCTAATCCGCGACAGAAGAAAAAAATGTGTATAATTTTCGTTTGTTAAAGAGTTTATAATTCTACCACTACTCAGGGAGGTGGGGTAGGCTTAATGGGGTAAATTCAGGCTCTCCACCAATGTTGCCCGAATCGGATAGAACACAGACGAGGTCCGCTTCAAAGTTCGACTTTCATTTGTTGAGATACCCAAAAGACTGCTCATATGAGACGACTCAGTCCGGAGACTACACATCAGGCATTCACAACGAAGTCGGTCGTGTCGGTCCTGTCGTACTTCCACAGCCACCGTAGGAGCGAAACTGTGGAGAAGAAAGGCTCGCATTAGTAAGCTGGTTCTTGTCTTCGTTCGAGTCGGTGATCATATTATGGTTTAATTGGTGTGGCTCAGCTGTGGTGTATATATAGTTTTGAGCAGGATTTATTGCAACATTAACGCTTTATCGGTTTCAATTTTTGTCCGAATCTATTTTCAGAATTCGGGCACTTGAATTTGTTAGCGCCATCGGTTAATACTATTTGATATCAGACCTGTTCTGGTTCTGTAACATGGATGAAGAAGCGAATTTTGCAGTTTTGCCCTGCCGCAGCATCTCGGTTAATATTTCAAAGACGTTCGGTTCGTGTGGAACTACAGTGTAAATCGGTGTGGTTATTTCAAAGATAAGACGTTCTGGTTCTGTTCGTGTGGACCTACAGTGTAAATCGGTCGCGCGTATGGTGCAAAATTTTCTGTATTCTGTCCGAATTATCGTGCAACTTCTGCTTTTAACCTACTGGCTCGACTGGATAGCGCAGCGCTGGTTCCCGGTATCATTTGGAAAAACTTCCCCACCCCATAGTCAAGTAGATGAATCTTGCAACACAAATCTCCAAGTTTTAGGAGCTGCGCATGACAAATTTCCCTCTGCAGTGTAGTGCTGATTGGCAAGAGAAGCTGCATGAGAAAGCCACTTTCGCATCCTTTTTACAGCATTACAGATTCCAAAACACGAGTGGAAATGCCTCTCATGCAGCTGCGCATTACAAATGTTGCTGTCATTGCACATTTGCATGACAACTTTGGTGTGGGGACGGCGTTTTTACTCAGGATACCCGGCAGCCGTGTTTCGCAGTCCGTTCTACTGCGTGTTTCCGAACACGGTGTCACATATTTTGGCCAAAGTGGATATGGGAGTGTCAGGATTGAAATCGTCAAAGTTGAAATAGTTTGTCATGCATAAATTGGATGCCGGTTGGAACCCAGGTTCCAAGTAGCGCATGACAGATTCGGGCGTTGCCTAGATCCAGTTTGTAATGCTGCTTAGGCAAAGAGAACCGATTTTCTCATGCTACTTTAGCAGCTCCAGCTCTAACCCGAAACAGGCTTACAATCGGCCTCACTTGCCTGCTCTGCAACACACGTCTGTGGCGTCATGCATTTTATGCATTAAAAGTTATTCCAACTTTGTCCATTTCGATCCTGACACTCCCAAAGTGGAGGGCTTGCGGTTGGCGAAGCAGGAGGACTATTTGTTTCTCTTCTACCGAGATTATTGGGTGAACTCTCCAGTTCGGTTTGTTTGTTTCAGAGCAGACGGAGAAAAAGGCTGTAGCAGGGGCGATTTCATCTTCATCCTGTGACGCTAGAAGTTCATTTGGCGAAAATTTGTGTAAATAAGTAATTCAGCAGCAGGAGCAGCTGGCTCCAGTACAAGAACAGCTGCTAGTGCAGAAGATAATTCTCGTCCAGCAGAACAACACATCATAAATCTTGTGGAAGACAGGTGCTTGAAAGTCGAGGCTTTACGGGCATTCACGGCGGGAGGAATAAAAGCTGCGAATTTGTAGTAAAAGACTCAACAATAGAGACATACACGCGATCTCTTCGGCAAGAGCTTTGGTTTGCCGTAAGTAGACTAAAGAACAACAGAGCACGACTTAGTCACTAAGTCGTGCTCTGTTGTTCTTTCCATGCTGCACCAATTTCTCAACGAAGAAGTAGTGCACTGGTTATATATTCGATGCACCAATTTTAATATCGTCCATCTTCGAGTTTCATCATACACCGTGACACTTCTTGTCACCTGCGATGAACTTTCGGTCAACCTCAACAATGATACCGCTTCGGTGACGTGAAGAATCGAATTTTGCAGTTTTGCCAAGCCGCACCGTTTCGGTCATTTCAAAAACGTTCTTGTCTAGACCTAAAATGAAAATCGGTCGTGCAGCGTATCGTGCAAAATTTTCTGTACGTACGTATGGTGCAAAATTTTATGTATTCTATCCGAATTATCGTGCAACTTCTGCTTTTCAACTACTTCGGTGTTGGTACTATCTTGTCCAAGGTTGACGCTGGCTATAATTTTTCACCCCGTCGGTCGTGCAACGAGATCACTCGTTTTTGCAACAGCATGTCGGTTGTTCTCGCCGTGCACAATATGTTGATTATCGTACACAATTCGTACGCAACATCCCACATCCACAACAGGACAATGTGAAGCTTTTGTTCTTCGCGGAATTATAAACGCTTCTACTTTGCCCCTACAAGTTTACATAAATCACTAACGACGGCTGCTCATCTCACAGATATTGAATTTATATTTTATTGAAGTACTATTCACACCAAAAGAAAACGAAATTGAATATAAAATTATTGACCACGACGAGACAACAAAACTAAGTACTCAAAGAAACACGAAGCGGAAGCGGTGAAGAGAAACACGCATAAGAGAAGCGGAATCGTGCGTTCCTGCAGCCCACAACAAGTATGAGATGGACTGAGCGATTCAAAATCAACGGATTCAAAAATTTTCTTTCATGTTCCAAGCTTTTCCTGACTCTTGAAAAGAACAGCAGCAAGGATGGGCTGTGTTCTGGGTGATTTTTTGCGTTCGCCGAAACGTCGCCCAGAAGAGTATCAAGCGAACAAGCTAGGTCGATCTCAACTTGACTTCGTGACTTAGGCGTACGTGAACGCAGAAAAACCGGGAAGGGGAACAAGGCGAGTGTCTGCATTCATAAACGTGAAGAATTCGCAGAAGCAAGGGGCAACAGAGTAGGCTACACAGCGGATACCCTCGAAGCCCAAGCCTGCCACTATTTGGCCCCAAGGCGCTTTTTTTGTTGGCATTTTTTGTTGCATTTTTTTGTTGGCATAGTAGCCCGCGCGGCCTCCGTGGACCTGGTCGAGGCTGCCGCAGGTTTACAACCTTTACGCGAGCAGGCCCAAAGGCATTCCCACCACGGCGCACCAGAAGCCGCCGGCCATGCCCGGCGGTCGGCCCGCTTGGGTTTTGGAATGGGCCTTGGGTTGCCCTTCACATGGCTGACGCGCGTTTTTCCCGGGACACAACTTGGCGGCACTGTTGCGTCTTGTTTTTCCGATCATTTCAAGGCTTCATGCGCACGCGCTGACTTCATCCCCTACTTTGCAGCCTGTAAGTATAAAATGGCAAGTAGTTGCCTCAAGTTGAGACCGGCCACGTTGGCCTCTTTCGTAGTCTTCGGCCTACATATTTTACTTCCATAACCCGGCGCCGACATCTCCGCCACTTACCTGAAACTGCTCCGCGCGACGCCGAATCCGGGGACGTTTTGGAGGAGTTGATGGGATGCGTTTTAGTTGAAAAAAAATTTTTGAATCGCTTGGGTTTGAATCGCTCAGTCCATCTCATAACAAGGTACCTAATTCATTCCCAATCTAGACAACAAACACGAAGCGGAAGCGGTGAAGAGAAACACGCAATTCCTGCGGTGAACGAAGAGAAACACGTGCGCTCCGGCCGCCCACAAGGTACCTACTTGATTCCCAATCTAGGCATTGCATTTTTCCAGACATCTCATGCTAGGCATCACAGATGATAGCTAGGACTAGGTCGCGCAGCACCAGCGCGAACCTCGTGAGCGCCAGAATGGGTTACTAACCACCTCTGTGGCCCCATTTTTGTTCTCCCGTGGCCAGCCCTTGCCTACAAAAATGGACGACACCGGGGGAGCACAGGAGACGCGCAGCCAATGCCCACGCCGATGTCGGTGCGCAATCAATCTGGAGAGGGAGGCGAAGATGGCGCGCGCATGCTAGAGAAGCACGCACTATCAAAGGAGCAACTAAATCACTTCACATCTGAATCATAGGGCCAAAAAAAAAAATTTTTGAGTATTAATATAGCTTAGCATGAAGAAATGACTTCAGTTGTATGCACATGATGACGATGCGAATATGCCACCAGAATGGCAGTTTTGAAGGCTCAAATGAAGAGCTTTGATTTTGAACTAGATAGTTGATAGCTGCAGGACGATCTAGATAAGTAGCTAGCTGAAGATCATGGTTTATTTGATGAAAAAACAAAGAATATTAGAAGGATTTCGCCTTGTGGCTTCCGGCCGGCAGCCTCTCGCCAAGCTGGAGCGAGGAGCTGCTACGCCTCCAATGTGGAGAGCTGCTGGGAGACATAAACCGCCAATGAGCCGAAGAGCTGGCACTCCGTGACGAAGCAGCCCAACGGATTCGGAGCTGGTACTCCGTGACGAAGCAGGCCAACGGATTCGCCCGAATCCGTTGGGCTGCTTCGTCACGGAGTTCCAGCCCTCCGGCAGAAGAAGCACACATTCTTCCCCGCAGAGCTCCACGTTGGCGACGTCCCAGCTCCTCCAGCCTGGCGGGAGGCTGCCTGCCGGAAGCCACCAGGCGAAATCCCTTTACTTTTCTTTGTTTTTTCATTAAATAAACCATGATCTTCAGCTACTTATTTAACTAGATCTTCCTGCAGCTATCAACTACCTAGTTTAATTAAGAAGCTCAACAGCAGAGCCTTCTTCTGCCGTACCTGGTTTGCATTCTGCATCATATCAACGCAATCATTCATAAGTGAAAGCCACATGATTTGTTACTTGAAATACATTAAAAAAATTTTTTTTTTGGCCCTATGATTCAGATGTGAAGTGATTCATTTGCTCCTTTGATAGCACGCGCGGCTTGTTTACTCATCTTGACGCGAATATATATAATTTAGCGAGCTCGTGGCCCCTCTCTCCGGCGACGCAGTGGCCCGCCACTGCCCGCTAGCGACCTCTGTTGGGGAGGGTTCGGGACTTGTTGCAGCCTCTGTTGCGCCCGGCGCTGCGACCTCTCGGCGCAGTGCTGGAGCACGGTTCGACCCACGTCTGTGGGCGGACAAGTGCGACGCCCGCAGCCACCTCTGTGGCGCGGACGTCGCGGCGCGGTCCCTGCTGCACGCCTCGCTACTGTATCTAGTAGCACAAAAGACGCTGCGAAGCAGCGCAGATACACTTTATACAGAGCCGGAGTTGTTCCACCACTGTGAAGGGTGTCGTGGCCTTTTGTTGAGAACATACGGACTAGAGCAGCGGCCCCATGCGGCCGCAGAACTGCGGGGATTTGGGAAGTAGTTTGTGTTCGCCTCACGATGATCACCAAGATGCTACCCAAGTCACATCATGGATCAGGTACCAACAGGGCGGAAGCCGAAGCGGTGAAGAGAAACACGCATTACGTATCAAATGTAAAAATGTCTGGGTCTGGAAGATTCTAAACCTGTAATGCTGTCTCTGGATTCTAAAAAATTTGTATTGCATGACCAGCAAAAGGACTCCAGTTTGTGCTACGTGAAGAGGGCATTTCTCATGCGGTAGAGGCACCACAAAGTCCTCTGAAAATCTGTGATGCTAGGGCATGCATCACAGACATCATCGGCCATTCAAAATATGCATGACAAACCTGGCAATCTTCCAGACCCAGACACTTTTGCAATGGATAGGTGGGCGCGACCTGCCACCCGGTGGGGCGGGAGGAATTCGACGTGCCTCCACCAGCACTATCAAGTGTAAAAGTGTCTGGGTCTGGAAGATTGCAACTTGTCATGCTAAATCTGAAGCATGCAAAAATTTGTTTTGCATGAGTGCCAAAAGCTGTCCGCTTTTGACCAAGTTGAGAGGGAGTTTCTCATGCAGGAAAGGCATGATAGAGCCCTCAAAGAATCTGTCATGCTGGGTCTCGCATTCCAGACCTCATGAGTCATGGAAAACCTGCATCACAAATCTTGTATTTTTCCAGACCCAGACATTTTTACATTTGATATTACGAATACCAAAACGAAAACCGAACTTCAAGATATCAAAGTGAAAAAAGCCCCCACCCCATATTCAAAAGACGATTTGTGTTGGTGGATTCGTGTACTACGCAAATGAGCTTTGTAATTGCAGCAAGAGCTTGTCTGCATATAATTCTATAGCCCATTTGGGTGCTGCGCGCCCGGCTAGCAGCTGAGCATGTGAAACAAGGCTGACATATTAGGCGAAAACGCATGACAGACTCGCTGAACAATGCGCCACAAGGGTTCCGCTTGCCTTGTACGCAAGACAAAGCATCGCAAATTTTCCTCTCGATGTGGGGACGGGGGTGGATTTTTCCTTACGATACGCGACTCGCTTTCTCCGCGGCCTGCATATGAACTGCAAAAGTATCGTATAAATGCATGACAAATTCCCTCAGCATGAGATTGAGCAATTAAAATTTGTAAGTATATGCGTATGTGACTTAACAAAAAGATTTGTAATGCATGACTGCAATACGAGTACGATACTTTTGCACAGGATTGCTTTCTATAGTTAGAACTCCGCGCCAGCTCCTTCACGACGATCGAACTGTCCTATCCTGTGCAAAAGTATCGGATTCGTATTGCAGTCATGCATTACAACAAATCTTTTTGTTAAGGTAAATCAGCATTGCAAATCAGTCAGGGTAGAGGAGCAATCCTCGGGCACATAGATAACAAAACGCTGCACATCTGAAAGAGTTTTTTTGAAAGAAGAAAAGAACAGACGTGCACCATCAGAAGTGTAGTGCTGGCGGTAGCACTTGTGCTGCACCATCAGAAGTGCGTAACTCGCATGCCGGGCGTGCCATGTCAGGATGTCAGGATAACGCAGAAGCTCAGTCAGTCAGTCAGCATTGCAAATTTTATCTCTCATGCTGAGAAATGCACTTATACGAGTACGATACTTGTGTAGTTCATATGTCCGGCGGGAAAATATCGATATGAGAGTGCATAAAAACAACTCGATCTCCACGTACTACCCAGCTGCAGCCGCCCGGGACGAGAGTGCGGCTCTACTGCTGAGCGCGGAAGATAACGCAGTGGGACAGCACGTTGAACAGGAGACGGAAAATGTTGAAAAAACCCCCGCCCACGGGGGCTGTTGCCAAGACTGCTGCACGAAAAAGTGCGTGCTCATCCTTCTCCTCATATTTCTCGTCCTCGCAGGCGGTGCTTGCGTTTTAATTTTCGTTCCCTGGTTCGACGTATCAAATGTAAAAATGTCTGGGTCTGGAAGGATGCGAACTTGTGATGCTGTCTTCGGATTCTAAAAAAATCTGTATTGCATGACAAGCAATTATAGGGCTCCAGTTTGTGCTTCGCGGGAGGGCATTTGTCATGCGGAATAGGCATGATCAGGAGGGCCTCTAAAGCTCTGTGATGCTAGGTCATGCATTCCAGACCTCATAGGTCATGGGAAACCTGCATCACAAGTCTTGCAACCTTCAAGACCCAGACATATTTGCAATCCATACGACGGTTGGAGTGAATCTTTGTACACGAGATGGAGAGGAGGTGCGACGTTCCTGTCGCCCACAAGGTACCTAATTCATTCTCATATTCTAAGCATAACGCACTCCAGATCGGTCACATAATTCTAGGCATCAACTGCACAAATAGGACTAGGTCGTATGGATTGCAAAAATGTCTGGGTCTGGAAGAATGCAAGTTTGTCATGCTTGTCTGGCATGGCTCGAAAATCTGTGTTGCATAGGCGCGAAAAGGCTCTCTTGCCTGTCATGCAAAAACCCAGTTTGCCATGCGGAATACGTAAGACATGGCAGCCAAAAAATTTGTCATGCGTAGGTGCGTATTGCAGTGCGTCTACCATTCACTTTTAGCATTACAAGTTTCCAGACCCAAACGTTTTTACATTTGATAGGTCGCCAGACATCACCACCAGCGCGAAGAACCTCGTGAGCCCTGGGGGTATTGTGCGGGATATCCCACGAAAAAACTGTTTTACTGTGATGATCTTGCAAGATCTGCATCGCAGGTTTGTATACACATGACACAGAAAATTTGCATTGTGCGCTTCCCAAGGGAAAACACGCTAAAAAATCCAATGTCTTGCAGGCGTAGCAAGACAAATCGTTCCGTGCTCCATTCTCTGCATCACAAGTTCACAGTGAAACAGTTTTTTCTTGCGATACGGGAGCAAAACAAAGTGAAGTGGAAATATCAAAGCGACGCAAGCTGTTATCCCACGAAAAAAGTGTTACAGTTACACATTTGTTGTCAATTCCGCAACACAAATTTTCTCTGCATGAGACTTGTAATGCGAAGATCATAAGGGAAAACAGGAAGGAAAGGAGGCTCCGAAGCATTTCCTGCATGAGAAAGGTTGTCTCTGTTGCCAGTCTTGCATGACAATGTGTAACTGTTGTAACACTTTTTTCTTCTATAATTCATTCTCATATTCTAAGCATAACGCACTCCAGATCGATCACATTCTAGGCATGATCACAAATAGGACTACTAGGTCCTCGCGCAGCACCTCCAGCGCGAACCTCGTGAGCAGGGCCGGAATTTTTATGGGCCAACCACCTCTGTGGAAGGAAGGACCCCACTTTTGTTCTCCCGTGGCGGCGGTGGCCAGAATTAGAATTTATGCCTACAAAAATGAAAATAAATGGAGGACAGCGGGGGAGCGCAGCAGACACACAGCCAATGCCTACGCCGATGGCGGTGCGCGAACTGGTAGGAGGGAGGCGAAGATGACGCTCGCATGCTCTCGTAAGAGAAGCGTTCGCGGCTTGATGTTGGTCACCCTTTTTTATGTTCACACACGACTCGCAAGGCACATCCTGACGTCTATGGCTCATTTGGAGTCGCGTTTCAAACTTTCACACGCAGAGCGCGGCGATTCGCAAGTTTAGCCGAACCGGCGTAGCGATTTTGTGTCTGGTTTTCTGACATTGTGTGCCCATCACAGAATTCGTGTGATAGGCACGCAACACTTTGAGGGGGCCAGAAATAAAACTGCCGCGCCACTTCGGCTGTACTTGCGACCTTTGGTGCCTTGCGCGTGACAGTTCGATCCGCGTGTCCAAGCGAGGTGACTGTCGACGTAACACGCAAAGCCTGGGAACGAATTTCTGTGAGTCACCTGAATAAAATTGGTGCTCAGATCGGTTTTGCTGGTCAGGGCACAAATCTTACGCAGGCAGCCTACAGAAATTAGGTCTCAGGACCCCACATCCGAGAACTTGTCGGATGGGACTTCACATCCGAGGAACTCCCGGACGTGAACTCACATCCAAGAATTCCTCGTGTGTCAGCTCACATCCGAGAACTTCTCGGCTGTGCGCAGACATCCCAGGAGTTAGTATTTGATGTGGCGAAAATCCTTGCGAACAAATTGCTGGAAGTCACCTGCGTAAGATTTGTGGTCCGATCGGCAATACCTATTGGAGCACAACCCCTACGCAGGTGAGTTACGGATATTAGCTCTCAGGATTTCCGCCGCATCACGAAATTCTTGACGCAGCGAAGATCCTGGGAAATAATTTCTGTAAGCCACCTGCGTAAGATTTGTCTTCTCACTGGTAATACCGATCTGGGCACAAATCTTATGCAGGTGACTTACAGAAATTACTTCCCAGGATTGGATCATCAGTGTGTCCAAGTGTGGCGACTGGAGACGCAGTACGCAAATCCCAGAAGTGCATTTCTTTGGGGCACGAAAGCCGAAGTTGTAGGAGCGCGAGTTCTGCTCTGCTCTTAGGTAAAGAAAACTCGCGCAGCGCTTTTTCCTCCTGGCCTTCTAGAAGTGTGCTTCTGAACACATCTGCAGAGCGATCTGCTTTTTCTTCTAGGGAGAAGACGCAGCCTCTGCTAGAAGAAGAAGCAGCTTCTTCTAGAAGCTGCGTTTTCTAGAAGAAAAAAAGTCTGCGTCTTCTACAGGAAGACCAGCCTTCTAGAAGAAGACAAAACTTCGCGCCTTCTTCTAGAAAAAGACGCAGCTTCTTCTAGAACAAGAAGCTGCGTTTTCTTTTAGGAACTCAGTTTCTAGAAGAAAACTTCCGGAAAAAGTGTTCGGACAGGGGGTTTGCAAAGGGGTCTTCAAAGGGGTGGTCGCGCAAAGTGCCTTAGTCACGACCTAACAAAGGGTCAACGAAAGGGGTCAACGAAAGGCTCTCTCGGAAGGGGGTTTCCGCGAGACCTTTTCTGAAAGAAGTCAAGAAGACTTCTTTTAGAGTCTGAAAGAAATCCAGCGGATTTCTTTTAGACTCTCAAAGGATTTCTTCTAGAGTCTCAAGGTGCCTCAGAGGCACCTTGAGATTCTAGAAGAAATCCTGGGAACTCATTTCTGTAAGTCCGTTGCGTAGGATTTGCACTCAGGTCGGGATTACCGGTCGAAACGCAGATCCTACGCAACCTACTTACAGAAATGAGTTCCCAGGATCCCACATCCGAGAATTCCTCGGATGTCAGCTCACATCCGAAGGGTTCGCGGAAGTGAGCTGCAGGAGAACTTTCGCGCGCAAAGTGCCGAACTTTGGCGCCCTGCTTGTGAAAGTTCGATCCGCGTGTCCAAATGCGGCGATGTAGAAAAAACACGGGAATTCTGGGAGCTAATTCCTGGAAGTCGCGTGCGTAGGGTGTGTAGTCAGACCGGGACTACCGGTCGAAACGCAGAGCCCGCACACCTGCTTCAAAATTTTTGAAAGCCGAAGCTTTTCGGAACTGCTCTGAGAACTAATTTCTGAAAGCTCTGATATGTTCACACACGACTCGCAAGGCACATCCTGACGTGTATGGCGCGAATATGTAGAATCCAGGGGCTCGCAGCCCCTTCTTCCGGCGACGTAGTGGCCGAGCGAGCTTTGCGAGGGCGCACGCCCCTCGTAGCGAAGCGAGCCGTCACTACTTACCCGCTAGCGACCTCTGCTGTTCTTGCAGCCTCTGTTGCACCCGGCGCTGCGACCTCTCGTCGCAGTGCTGGAGCATGCCTCGACCCAAGTGGTCTATGGGCGGACAAGAGCTGCGACGCGCGCAGCGGACGTCGCGGCGCGGTCCCTGCTGCGCGCCTCGCTGCTATGTATCTAGTAGTGCAAAAGACGCTGCGAAGGAGCGCAGATTATACACCTTTACTTCATACAGAGCCCCCGGAGTTCCACCACTCTGAAGGGTGTAACCTTTTGAGAACATACGAACTAAACAAGCTGCCAGCCCGTCAAGGGGCGCCAGCGCTCTGCTGGGGATAGATTTGGGGAGAATTTTGTGCTCGCGCCACGATCATATAGGTAGCAAACCCTCGTACCCAAATTACATCATGGATCTTCAGGTACCAACAGGGCTATCAAATGTAAAAATGTCTGGGTCTGGAAGAATGCAAGATTTGCAATGGAGGTTTTCCATGACCCATGAGGTCTAGAATGCGAGACCCAGCACGACAGATTCTTTGCGGTCTCTATCATGCCTCTCCTGCATGAGAAACTTCCTCTCAACTTGGTCAAAAGCGGACAGCTTTTGGCACTCACGCAACACAGATTTTTGCATCATTTAGATTTAGCGTGACAAGTTCTAATCTTCCAGACCCAGACAATTTTACATTTGATAGAGACGTGGCCGGGCCATTAAACGGCGGGGGCGATGATCGAACAAGTTCGGATCTTGGAGGCGATCAAGCCCAAGTTCGCTTCCATAGATCGGATCTATGGAAGCGTCAGGTTTGAAATCGTCAAAGTTGAAATAATTTGTAATGCATAAAATGCATGGCCCGAGGCACGTGCGTTGCAGAGCAGGCAAGTGAGGCCGATTGTCCGCCTGTTTGGGGTTCCAGCTCGAGCTGCTAAAGTAGCATGAGAAAATCGCTCGTCTTTGCCTAAACAGCGTGACAAACTAGATGTAGGGACCACCGAAATTTGTCATGCGCCACTTAGAAACTGGGTTCCAACTGGCATCCATTTTATGCATGACAAATTATTTCAACTTTGTCGATTTCAACTCTGACACATCCATACGATGGGGGTGGTGGCGATCAGGGTGGTGGCGATGGCGATGGTGGTGGCTTCTCTCCACAGGAGCCTCCTGATGAACCTGA